GAAAAAGTGAGTAGGAAGCTGGGAAATCTAGGAAACTAGGACAGTAGGTAGGATGGGGAAGGGGAGGAGCGTCGTATTTCCCAAAAATTTCCCACAGCGGCAAGACGCGCCCCGAGGAGGATCGTGCCAGAAGAGGAAATTCGAGGAGAGAAGTCGTACATATTTTGTAAAATCCTCCTTACGGCAGGAAGTGCCCTGCTGTTCTCAAATCGAGGCTGTGTCTACCCACTGACATTTGGACAACTTAGAGAGCGGATATGCACGGAGTGGCCGCGACCTAGTCTCGCCGCTTGCTCCACCTCGTTCTCCCAACTACCTTGGCTTCAGCACACAAGAAAATTTGTAGTAAATCGTTATACTGTGAGGCAATGAAATAAATAACAGGCAATAAAAACAGCTTCAGTAGGTTCAGTGAAAATACAATGACTGATAATTTTTTAGCGTCACGCATTTGATCTGAGGTCGGTTGGGAGCTGCAGTAATGTTGTCGCTGTTCCGGATCGCATTACGTACGGATGCTGCTGTAATAAGCATTACTGTCAATTTATGGCGTGCATTTTCCAAGCGATGGTTTTCATTTACTATGCGGTTCTTAAGAGAGGGAGACCTAATCATATCAATGGAGTTTGAAACACCGGTTACAAATATGGAAACCAAAATGGCTACCTGAATTACACAAGCAACTTACAAAATTCGTGAAACCTTATTCACTTGATACTGTAGCGTGGGCGCCACCTCCTTCCCTGCTCGAAAGGCTCGGAAGGACACGATAGAGTTTATGGTTTAATAAAGATACTGGCAGGATTTGACGACATAAGGAGGGCCTCATTTAGAACGTTTTCAGCGGTCTCTCTGCTTCCTTATTCTCGGGCAGCTCAACTAGCGCGCACATTTTTGCTGTTCACTGCGCTACCTACGAAATTCCCACCGGTATGTGCTCATATCTTGCTTGGAAAATGTTCAGCATTACAAATAGGGCACACCATCAACTTGTCAGGGACTTTCCAAAATGCGACCCTCAAGTTGTCTGAGGCCTGGTTACAAACCCCATCGAACTACCAAGGTCTCGGAACAGGGTATAGCATCGTGTGTAAAGTGGTATCGTACCAACACCTCCTCCTGAAAAAAGATCGCGGTACGACCTCTCTCCTCTTTCCAGCTCTGCTTGTTCTGACAAGAACAATAAGATACGTACGACTCGCAAGCGCTTGCGACCGCTTCGTGATTCCATGGCAAATTAGAGGAGGCGCACTTCTGTTGGCCGGGTGGAAGTCACAGAGCTTCCTGGGGTGACAGGTTTTTTAGGTTGGGGGGGGCTTTAAGAAACGGAAGGCGGCATTTAGAAGCAATTACCGCGTTTTCTACTTACTCGCGGTGTGAAGCTTCCCCACTCGTGAAATATTTCGGACGCGTCGGTGGTAAATAGCGAGGGGTTCCTATGCTTTAGACGGGAATAACTTCCTTCAATCGCAATCCTTTGCAAAAGTGAAAAAAGGCTTCAGAACGCCCAATGTTTCCTCTTTCCAACAAGCTCCACAGTTTCCTGAAGACCCGCTAGTTTAGAAGATATTTCAGATGGGTCACCCTTGGGCGACATTCTGAGCCACTCAAAAGCTCGACTCCTTCTGTGCCATTGTAAGGATACTCATTCGCGAACTTCAATATGCCTTCAAAACACATATTCCCGTTGAACTGAGTCAAAGCATAATTTGGTTATCATCGATCGATTTGGTCCGAGTGTGCGCCGTGCATTACGCTTCTACGCAGAGGTGGTGGAAAGGTAAAGGTATAACTTCTGATTTTAGGTGATTTTGTCCATGCAAGCAGATGTTTGTTCAAGGTTTGGAAAGGTCGATACGCACGAATCTGTTTGAGATGTATTATTTAGTCATCTACGTACTTACGAGTTCATGCTAACTATTGATATTGCTAATCAATTTTTAATATTTTGTAGTCTTCCACTCATCTGGGTCCTCTGCAATAGCGCGTGCGCTCCATGAATCAGCGATGACAGTTTTGTGCTGTTCGGTGCACCCTGCGCCTTCGACCCTTCTACCCAACGGCCAAGTACGACCCCACCCCTCCGATGGGTTTCGCACGACGAGCACGATGCTGTGCCCTGTCTTCAGTGGAATTTCCACCGAAACTCCAAACTATTTCGTGGTTAGTGGCAAAGAGTAAAAACCGACCCGTCCTCCTTGTAGATGTGTTCTCTCCATAGATTTTCTTGGGGATAATAAACATCAACGGATTTATGATGGGTAGGCCGTCGTATCCACCAACAGCGTAGATCTTTCCGTCGACAGCATCAACACCTAACTAAAAAGTAACCATTTTCTGTTATGTACATTAGTACAAGTAGATCGCAATGCGTTTTGAATAGGTCCTCAGACTCACATGAGATCGCCTCCTGTTCATGGGAGGTACTGGCGTCCAATCATTAGTGAGAGGGTTGTATTTCTCAAGCTGAATTCAGTGAGTAGCCTTGCTCATCACTTCCACCCACAGCATACAAGTGGCCATTGAGCGCTGCGGATCCCAGACTTGATCGAGATGTTGACATTGGACGAACGAATTCCCACTTGCCAACTCGTGGATCTAGTCTAGAAGAGGATGATCATGTTGAGACTTTACTTCTGATAGAACAGATTGTACATGAACACTCATTCTAGGTTCTTGCTCTTATTCCAGAGAGCCAAATATAAATCTCGAAAAGAAAACTGGCTGAGCATCAATTCACCTTTCTACAGTGTTCAAATATACTTCACTATAACCTCCAACGGCATATAAACAGCCATTAAGCACAGACACGGAAAACGCATATCGTCGCGTATTCAATGGTGCCACATGGGTCCATACGTTTCGCCAAGGGTCGTAGCTGCAATGACGCTAATGAAGAAAAATGAGGAGCATAAAAGTCCTTACCGTTCACTTTACAATGTCCAGAATCGACGCTCCATCCCAGCCACCAACTACGTAAGAAAGCCGTTAAGCGCAGCCACTTCATGATAGCTTCGACCCGTGACCATTGGAGGGACGTCATTCATCCATCGACCAGTAATAGTATCATACCTTAAAGGTAAGCTCGTGTTCAAAAATGGAGTTATGCGGCTCATATGGTAATAGCAAAGTAGCAAGTTTATAGGAGCATAAGGCAAAGGAAGGTGTGGTCAAACGTTGCCTCACTTGTTGTTGTGAGTTGCTTCCACTTATCTCACCACTCGAAGAGGAGAGTAGAAGTTAGGAGCAGAACAACCACACCAGGAGGCAACCATAAGGAATGAATGTTGGGCGTTGCGGCAGCCAGGAGGGCGGGGCGGCAACCTCTTCGGAGGCGGGCGGTGCCATAGTCTCGTATTTATGAGTTGCGGAATTGGTACATCCGCCATCTTTGTAGTTGAGCAGAGATTTTGCAGCAGGAGGGGTGCTATACAGGGAGGAGTCAAAAAGTCACTTTTCCTCGACTTTCAAAACGAAACAAGTGACATTTCATCAACTTCTGACTGGACATTTCTACCATCAAATTCAACAACATACTGTACACGATCACGAAAGCCCCCACAGCCTTCTGGAAGAACGCCATCAAGAGATTTTGCCACGTGATTCGGTGCCTGAGTTCAGCGAAGTCGTTGATTTCTCTGCCACTGTAGATCAACCTGTTGAGCTCCTCCCGGACCCGGTAATCGAGGAGGGGTTTTGGTCAGGTGACACACTCGGATATTCTGGCCCCTTCAGTTCTCAACGCCCTTCGTTCCAAGTATGCGAGAGTTTTTCCAACGCCCTACGATTCCATGTGCTAGCACCCAATCCTGTAGCAGTGTGAAGTTTCCAAGAAAGACTCGAAGGCAGGATGATCTCCACGAGTTGTTCCATGTAACCGTCAGCGTTCACTTCCATTTCGGAATCCACGAAAAATCTTCTTTCTTCTTCTCCTTCTTCCCGTTCCAGGAACCTTCTCTAGTCCTCTGCGGCTGCAGATGGCTTCATATTTCGGTTCACATGAAGGTGATGGAAGAGTGCCTGCTTCTGCTTATCGAGGAACATCAAAGGTGTCTTTCTTCCGCCCTGGCATCCACGTCTTCTCTCTGAGCTGCTATTTTTCACCGATATGTGCCTCGGGCGATGTGTCTTTTTTGACTCCCCTCCCCTGTATTTCGGGAAAATGACGGAAAAGCGAAGTCGAACGGTCAAAAATCTGCAGAAAAACCTTTGTTCTGCACGGCACTGCACAAGCATTTCCAGATGTGTTTTCCCTTGGAAGCAAACAAAGGCTTTGATAGATACTGCTACACGTACATATGGTGGAGCTCTCACCGGACAGTGGGGCGGTCCCTACGACCACGCTGGCGAGCGTTCCGGTGATTGCGTGTCGATGGAAGAGGCGAAAGTTTTAGGAGATTATCATCATTGCCTCTCCGTCTCTGATGCTGACTCTGCGCTCTAACACACGCCGCCGCACCGTCTACTCACTCTTCCGCTCTGGACTCTCGCCGATCGATAATTGCTGACGCTCTCGATCAGCTGATTCCTGCCGCATTTTCGCAGTATTTTTGCTAGATTCAGCTTGTTAAAGCTGAAATTTTTCGACTTTTGACTTCAATGTTCGAAGGTGAGTATTCTTACTGAAATTATATCACATTTTGCATGAATTTAGCATGAAATTCCCCTAGAAAACTTGTATTTCCTTCGATGTTCACACCTTGATTCTCACAATTATAATAATTTAATGATATAATTTTTCTAGTAAGAATACTCACCTCAAAAACTGAGGTCGAAAGTCGAAAATTTCAGCTTTAACAAGCTGAATGTAGCAAAAAATACTGCGAAAATGCGGCAGGAAATCAGCTGATCGAGAGCAATTATCGATCGGCGAGAGTCCAGAACGGAAGAGTGGGTAGATTGTGCGGCGGCGTGTGTTAGAGCGCAGAGTCAGTATCAGAGACGCAGAGGCAAGGTTTTTGCGGCTTTCCACCAACAGGCAACTATCGGGCCGCTCGCCAGCGTGGCCTTAGGACCGCCCCACCGTCCGCTGAGAACTGCACTGTATTCACATATGCTTAAAGGCAGTTGGCACGATAAATCGCTAAAGACGTGTAGGATTAATACGACTGGCATAACAGAATTCCGTGACCCCGAACAGGCGCTCCGTGGCGCCTTTTCCAAGGAGGGTACCCTTATAGCGCCCTATCGAGCAACAACATACCGACCCGAACGCCCACCTCGCCCGCCCGCCTACTATTGGACGTAGCATCACAGCACGAGGACGTGCCGTTGTGGACCGCCCGTGCCTACGTGTATGAACCGCCCGTGCCTACGTGTAATGTAGTGTAACGTAGAGCGACGTAGAACGTACTGCTGGCTTTTTGCCAGCAGTAAACGGTTCATCGGTAGACTCGTCCAAAGCAGCGCCCGCCCAGCCGTTCGCTCGTCCACTGCCGCAGTGCAGCGAAGAAATAAAGCCCCATTTCGTTGTTTTCCCACCATA